TTTTTTTTTTCTTTCCTTTTTTTGTGAATAAAACGATAACATTCGAACCATTGTTGTTTTAATAAAAGTTTACTTCAACGTTTTGAAATCTAAATGATATCCTCTTCAGGTAGTTAAATTTGAGTGAAATAAATTTTTTTATTTGATTTAAATAAAAATATTTATTTACACCAAATAGACTAGGTGAGATAAATATATACGTTTATTTAATTGAAATATATTATATTTGATTTAAATAAAACATTTTATCGTCAAATTGCACTCTAAATCTGAATTAGTAAAAATGTTTACTAATTTGAATTAGTGACTCACTTTTTGCTTCTGAATTAGTTAAATTGTACTAATTATTAGTAACTTTTACTTTACAATTAGTAAAATTTTTTCTAATTCAGAAGCAAAAAGTGAGTCACTAATTCAAATTAGTAAACATTTTTACTAATTTTTATAAACTCTCTAAATTTGAATTAGTAAAAATGTTTACTAATTTAAATTAGTGACCAACTTTTTGCTTTAGAATTAGTTAAATTTTACTAATTGTTAACTAATAATTAGTAAAATTTTACTAATTCAGAAGCAAAAAGTGAGTCACTAATTTAAATTAGTAAACATTTTTACTAATTCAGATTTAGAGAGAATGAAAATGTGATTTTCCAAATTTTCCATGCCCTAAATTAGTGAAAAATTTAACTAATTTGAATTTATTACTTTTTGCTTCTGAATTAGAAAAAATTAATTTGTTAATTAGAATTAAGATTATCTAATTAATATATAGACTTTCATTTTTTTTTCTGAACAGATATGACATTAATAGACTATTTCCGAAGGTGTTCGCAAGGTAGAAAAACCAAATAATACAAAGTGCCCATTCAAAAGTGAACCCTCAATGTTATTATTGAAAGAACCCGCCGTGAAGAAACCGAGAAGAATAGAGAAGGAAACAGAGGCTGTCTCGGTTTTTCTTCATGTCGAATAGGGTCGACTTTTAAAGGGCCGCAAAGACAGGTCTCAAGGTGCATTGCTTTCCCTTATAAGCTGATTTAAAGAGCCCACCACACACACACACACATGTAAAAGTTGAAAAAAAATAAACTTGCCAGATGGTTCGAACCTACCCCACGTTTTCTTAAAACGCCCACATTAATTCGAAACTGAAAATTCATTTTTCCTTATTCTTTTTCGAAAAAAAAAAGTTATTTTCATCACGACGTGTGATAATGAGGAATTTTTTATTCCACTTCACGTTCGACATATGTTCTTGAATCATTGTGGCTTTTATTTTCTTCTTCTTATTATGTATTATAATTCTCCATTAGAAAAAAATGATATACAGTCTGCTATAATTTATTACATTTAATCTTCCGTTAGAAAGGAGTCTCGAGATCTGGACCGTATAGAAGGGCCCCTTTCAAGAGGTATAGAAAAAAATATCGATATTCGTTTTTTATTATTTTTGGGGGGCGTATTTTTTTTTAAGAAATCATATCATAAAAATCATATCAATCTATTAATATATATCTTGTTTCGATAGTATTTTTTTTTTAATAATAATTTTGTTCGACAAAACTAAGCTTCCCACTTGGAAAGATTCCCCGGAAAGTGCCCCCTCGAGGTTCTATCAGAATTTAGCCGGAACTTCCAATGTAATTCCGTCGGAATTCCATCGGAGTTCCAAAGAATTACCGATGGGATTCCAATTTTTTTTCATAATTTTTAGAGTCCTAATTCCGTCGGAATTCCGTTGAAATCCCATCGGAAATTCTTTGGAACTCCGATGGAATTCCGACGGAATTACGTTGGAAGTTGCGGCGAAATTCTGATAGAACCTCGAGGGGGCACTTTCGGGGGAATCTTTCCAAGTGGATTTTTATAACCTTTGCATACGATAAATATTTTAACTTTAATTTAATGTGTTTTAGGTTATGTAATTATCAAGTAAGTCAAATATTTCGTTTTCAAATGACTTTAAATCTTTAAAAAGCATTTTTTTAAGAAAATTTTATCTGATCGTCAAATTGTATACGTTGTTGGTATGTTTTTTTTATGATTTATATTAATTTTTTAATTTCTTATACGAGCGGATTCCTCTTGTACGTATTATTATATGCATAAAATGTATATTTTTATTTAACGTTTGAAAAATTGACATGAATTTTGTTTTGAGGTTAGTTTTCTATAATATCTATTTAATTCTGTAAAGAAATTGTGAAATGATTTATTTTTTTTTTATTTTATTTTAAATACATATACGGGCTTACAAATAGAAAAAAACGCCCTTTCGTGCAGAAGCACTAAATAATAAGTAATAAGATAATTATTAAGCAATAATATCAAGACATCAAGACATTATGTTTTGATTTCGCAGTGTATAGGGTAAGGGGTACAGTGACCGACACCCTGGGCATACTTTCAACTTTAAATGACATTTTATCGTAATTTATTAAAGATTTAGTTATAAAATAAATTTTAAATAAAAGATTTGGGTTAAAATTTATAGTACACAAGTTTAAAATTAAAAAACACCTTAATAAAAGTTTATAATATTAATTTAAAAATGTATGGTATGAAAACAGTGAACGACACCCTTTAATAAAATAGAAAATATTTAAATTTCTATTTAAGTAACATGATATTTATTAGTATTATCATAAATTTTATTATTCAGAATTAATGTACAAAAAAAGTTGCTTTTAAAATATAATTATTTAACAATTTTTTCATATTTATAAAATTTGTAATCAATAAAGCAAATTTTTTGAGGTTAGTTTCCTAGAAAGTATTAAATATTGAGGAAAATATAAACATATAAAATTTTGTATAAACTGTATAAGTTTTTAAATATCGTATATTAATTAATTTACTGGTGATATTTAATTAAATATTATTATTTTTATAGTTATTATCGTTTTTAATAGCAGGTGTCGTTCACTGTCTGGGTGTCGGTCACTGTACCTTTTACCCTATGCATGTCAGAACGAAAGCTTAGCGTGTTGTCGATTTTTATCAATTAAAAATTGTATGAATCAGACGAATAAAAAAACGTAACATCTTTCACTAAATATATGAGTTTCTGATCAACAACTTTTCCATCTTATTAAATTATTATTAACTATTGTTAATTAAATTGAAAAAAATCCCAGAATAATAATAAAATAAAGCACTGCTTATTTTCTCTGTGAAAGACTATATACTGGAAACTGTCGTCTGCTGCCGGATACAGTGACCGCCACCTACAGTAAAATTGCTATTACTAAACTCCCGCGCTAAATTCAAAAAAGAATTTTAAATTTTCCCTTTTTTTCCACTGATTTTCTTTTAATTTTTTTAAGTAAATTTCCCCTCTTAAAAAATATCTTTTTTTTATTTAAAAAAAATGTATTATTTTTTATCTTAATGTCAAAAAAATCTTTATTCTTTCTAGCGATTGTAATCGATTCCTCTAAGTCGGAAATTTCTCCCTCTATTGCGTTCTATATGTATATATATATACTATTGTGCCACAGTGGGGTTTGAATATATGAGAAGTTCTTGGGAGTGCATCATCGGGAAATTAAAAAAAAACTGCAACTCCAGATGGTGCATCGCGAAGCATTTCTGACCCGTATCCCTCCGTTAATTCTCGGGTCCCTCTTTGTCTTATCCCACTTTGTGTGCATCTCACCACAAATATACGTTACTTATGTGTGTGAGTATATATATATATATATATATATATAAGGGTGCATCATACTATCGCTGCAGGCAATGCACTTTTGTCTTTTCCGTTGCACGTCGACGATAGACATACACGGGATGTGGACCGACGGAAACAGAAGTGAGGGGAAACGGTGACAGTGAGACTTTTATTAGGGAAGGAATCAGCAAGCATGATTATGTACCTTAGAGCGTCTCCACCTCCGTTTCACCCCCTACCTTCTCTGTTCTCAACCATCGAGTCATCCCTTTGCTCTCTCTCTCTCCCTCTCTTGCCTTGCATTGTCAATCCAAGCGCATATGCACCCATTGGCGTAGAATTTCACTATCGTTTCCTATTTTTTACCATTCGATCAAATTTTTATTCCCATTGGACTCTATTTTTTTTTTTTTTTTATATCTGATTCTATTATTATTTTTATTCTACGAATTTCCGATTATTACTATCAACTATTTCTAACTCATAATAATTAATAATTATAATAATAATAGTAATAATAATAATAATGATAATAATAGTAATAATAATAATAATAATCATAATAATAATAATAATAATAATAATAATAATAATAATAATGATAATAATAATAGTAATAATAATAATAATGATAATAATAATAGTAATAATAATAATTAATTTAATAAGAATTTGACTAAATAAATATTAAAATTTAATGAACAGAATTTAGTTAAATTCAACGCGCATATATAATTGAAAGTATATTTATACAGCTATATTTATATGTGTAATAAAAACAAAATTAAACTGATTTCATTGCGAGATTATTATTGTTATTTTTTTGTTTTTCACGTTGAATGTCTCTTTTACGCGACAAATCATTGTGGCAAAATTTATTGTATATAATTAATAATTTAATTGTAATTACTACTTGCTCAAATTCCTGCTTCGTCCATTAAATTTGAACAATTACTATTAATAAACCTTACAGATACTATATATTTGTCAAAAAAAAAAAAAAAAATTAATTAATCTGACATAAACAATTAATGGACAATTCAAAAATTATTCACTCGCAATAACAAAAATATTACATATTAATTAAATTTAATGATCAATTAAAATAAATTTTTTTGTCAATTCAAGGTCATATTTCTCAAGATCACTTTTTTTTCAATAAAATTTATTTTTAAAAAATTATTATTAAAAAATAATTTTAAAAAAATTATATTACAATTTTTTTTTTTTTAATTATATTAAAAAAATTTTTTTTTTTAAATTATATTAAAAAATTATTTTCAAAGATTTTGAAAGAAAAAGAAAACTTAAAAAAAAAAAAGTTACTTACGATGATTGTGTTGTCGTGGTGTTTGTTGACGGTGCCGGATGCTGAAACAGAAAATAAGGGAAAATTTTTATTTGAGAAAAAAATAATTCCACTCAATGTACATATATATATATATATGTATATATACATTAAAGATCATATAATAAGGGCAACATTTTAAGAGCACTGAGGATGGTACTTTATCAAAATTTGAACAACCCCTTTTTTTTGAATTAAGCGAGTTCCGTTTGTTTTTCGTCAAGTATATACATTCGCGTGTAACACGTGGCTTTTTCATTGTCATATACTTGGCACTTTCGGTTTTAAAAAAGACATTGGAGGGGCTGTTGCAGGATATATATATATATATTTAAAAAAACGCACGTTCGACTCCCAAGAGTATCACCAGAGACAACACCGTCGCTTCGCGGTTGGGGCGACATGCACGAAATTTGCATCCCTCCTTCGCCAATGCCGCCTAAGGCGATATTATTGTCACAATGAACCACCCCCCCCCTCGACACTCCGCTTCATTCTCGCCCAGGCCAAACACACACACACACACAGACAAATACATTTCATACAATGATACGTTGGCACGTGCACAGTTTTTTAGCTTCACTTGGTACATTGATTCTAGTCTTCATTGATTCTTATATTTGTATGATATTATTTTTTTTTTTTGCGAATTTTTTAATTTCTAATAATATTAACAACCGTTAATGGCAATTTATTTATTATTATTATTAATTTGTTATTAAGTATTTAATATTATATTTAATTATATGTTTATTTATATATTTATTTATATATTTATTTATATATTTATATATATATTTTTTTCTGATTTATTTTTATGATTTTTTATCTATTTTTTTATTTATTTTTGTTAATTTATTATTAATTATTTAATATTATATTAAATTATATGTTTATTTATGTATTTTATATATATATATATTTATTTATTTATATATTTATTTATATATTATATTTTTTTATGTTTTTTTTATTTATTTTTATTAGTTTATTGTTAACTATTTAATATTATATTTAATTATATGTTTATTTATTTATATGAATCATAATGGGACATGCTCTTTCGTACATGCCCTATTTATGTATTTATTTATATATTTATTTATATATATATATTTTTTGATTTATTTTTATGATTTTTTATCTACTTTTTTTATATTTTTTGTTAATTTATTATTAATTATTTATTATTATATTAAATTATATGTTTATTTATGTATTTATATATATATATATATATATATATATATATATATATATATATATTTATTTATATTCATATATATTTTTTTATTTATTTTTATGTTTTTTTAGTTTATTTTTATTAATTTATAATTAACTATTTAATATTATATTTAATTATATGTTTATTTATTTATTTATTTGAATCATAACGGGACATGCCCTTTCGTACATGCCCTATTTATGTATTTATTTATGTATTTTTTTATATAGTTATTTATATATATATATTTTTTTTTTTTGATTTATTTTTATGTTTTTATATCTATTTTTTATTTATTTTTGTTAATTTATTATTAATTATTTAATATTATATTAAATTATATGTTTATTTATGTATTTATTTATAAATATATATATTTAATATTTTATACTTTTTTTATATTTATTTATATAATATATTTGTAAATTATCATATTTATATTTCTATGTTAATAAAGTTTAACAATAAAATATTTCACAGCCACTGGGATTCGAACCCACAACAAAAATGGCATTGCCAGCCAACGTCAGTGACCGCGCGGCCATGCTCGCCTAGTCTATAATTAATTATTCGAGCAAGTGAATTAGAAAATAAATTCTAAAATGTCTTCTAAATATTTTGTCTATTAAGTTCAATTGACAAATTATAAATTCTGATTCCAATATATATATATATAAGGAAAGTACATTGACAGCTGCGAATAATTGATGCGCAAGATACAAATATACGAGTAGCTGAGAATGTTACAATTTCCACTTTCGACGATAAATTTCTCATTATCGACACACACACTCACACACATACACACACAGATATTCAAAGATAGCATGTAACAAATATCGATTTTGCTTTTTTTTTATTGGCAAACTGCAGTAATTTCCGTCCAAGAAACTATTTATTTTAAAAAATTCTATTTTTTTTTTGCAAATTGATTTACGGAAAATGTTTTTTTAAAAATTATTTTACGTTAAATTTAAACTGTACGGAAATATCGCTAACAAATTTTGCTTTGGAAATTGTAAAAAAAAATACTATTTCCAGAGTAAAGTTTTAGGATTATATTTTTACTACAATTTCTAAAACAATAATTGGCCAAAGATTCGCAAAAGTTCCGAACAATTTAGATTTTACTTTCCGGTAGATGATAAAAGCCACTTATAATTCGCTCATTTTGAAGTGCAACAAAAATGAGTCCACGTTTTTTTCTCTATTAATATTTTCTATATTAATTTTCTGCACCAAAAAAAAGTATCGAAAATAAAAAAAAAATACTTTAAATTAAAAATTTGCAAAAAATCATTTGTATGTAATAAAAAAAAAAAACATCTATTTATACATCAAAAAGTTTCCTATTAAGTAAAATTTTCGGCTCATAATTGTCAATTTGAGCCCTCTTGTCGAACTTTCTAAGCGACATTTAAGCTTTTCGTCATGTCATCAAGTTTTCAGCCTTTATGGCTGAAGTGATTTCGATGTCGGTAAATTGTTGGGATTAAGTGAGGAGAAATGGATGCGAGAAGGGGTTTGAACCATGGATTCTACAGAACATGGACATGTTTGTGAGAAGATGGAGGGGGCGAGGTAAAACAAAGTTTGATGCTAGTATCTCAGACACAATTTCAACCGGCAAGACTTAACAAATAGGCAAAGTTTCATCGTGGGTCCACACCGGCGGATTTACCGTAGAGACTACGACATCCTTCTCTTTGTTCCTAAAAGTTAGTGATGTATTAGCCTATCTTTTCACATATCTTTGTTTACTTCATCCCCTGCAAAATTTCCAACCTTCTTTTTTTTCATATATGCTTTAATGATGTCACGTCACCGTAACATTTTTTTTTTTATAAATAAATAATATTTATGTAAAATTAATAGAAAAAAAGCAATAAACACTTTTTGTGTCTATGAGGTACCGATTTTGAATCTAACCCAAAGAGGCGTGCTGGTAACGCCGCGAGAAATACATTGGAAAATATAACTATATATAAAGGGAAACCTTTCACTACGAAGGCAGTCCCAAAAATTGTACGTACGGAGTTCATGTGTTAAAATACAGTTTTAATATATACGGAAGTCTAAGTTTCAACATTGACAACCCATCAAGAAAGAACTATTACGAGAGGTCGTAAAAAATCAATAGAATACCGAATCATCAAAACTCACGAAGAAAATTTGGAAACTCCACCGCACAACATTAAATAAGGTAGCCATACCAAATCTTATTAAATAGATTTCATAATTGTTTGATTGTCTTATAATAATAATAGTTGAGAACATTCAGCATTTTTAAATAAATAATTTGTATATTATATATTTTTTTTAAATCATTTATTTAATAAACCTCTTCTCAACTTAGTTAATTTAGCTAAGTTAAATTGAGGAATTAGAATAGGGAACAATTATAAGTTCAGCTTAGGTAAAATTAAAAATTATTTAAAATATGACATAACAATGATATAGATAAAAATAAAATAATAGGGTAATGTATAGTCAACAGTGGACCACATTTTGTTTCTTCGCTTATAAATTTCTTTGGGAGCAAATAATTTTCCTAATTTCAATACATAAAAATATAAATTTAAAATAAAATAAGAAATTTGAATTTTCGTTTAAAAAAAAAAAAAAAAATGAAACTGGCTATGAGAAATTTTAAAACGTGAACGAGTATATGCTTTTGCTTAAAATTCGGTAGGGAAATCCGATAATTTCATAGCGTTTTGAACGAGCCAGTACGGAAAATTGCGTCCATAATCTAGGTAATACCTACAGTAACATGGTAATGGCTTGAGCACCTGCGCGTTGTTACGACCCATAAATTTTTATATTCGCGGTTTATATGTATTTATACTGATTTTAAAGAGCGCAGCAAAATTTTGCTTTTAGGAAAAAGCCTATTGGAAAGTCAAGGCGAGGCGATATTTTTTTTTTTCCCCAAAGCAATAAATAACTTCAAGTAAAAATAAAAAAAAAATAATTTAATTTTCACACTGCTTTATTTAATATTTCAACTATTTTTCAAATTACTCAATTTGAAAATCCCAAAATATTAAAAAAAAATTTCTTTTTTTATTTTATCATATTTTTTAATGATTTTCGAATGTGAAATATTTAAAAAAAAAACAAAGAAATGGGCTCTGAGACAAATATACGTTTATTTTATTTAAATATATTATATTTGGTTGAAATAAAAAAAAAAAAATTCTCTGAAGTATATTGAGAATGTGATTCAAATTAAAAGAAACTAGTGAATATTTTCGTGAGAGTAACTTTGAGATTTGATTTTCAACCCCATCATTCCCTCGACTTATTCATGGTGGTCTAGAATGGGGTGGAAAACGATCGACTTAGGTTTGCTTTTATTGGGTTATGCAACGCAACGAAAGCAGTCTAGTTTCTTTGTCTACGACGCCATCTGTCACCCTCGACAAGATCTGTTCGTATTTATATTTATGGGGGTGGTAAGTCTCTCACACACGTATATGCACGTGCATGTATATGATGATGATGATTTGCTTTGCTTTTCCGTTAGAAGCAAACAGAACAGAAGAAAGAAAAAGAATCGCACAAAAATGATGAGGGAGAAGAAGATAGTTTAAGGGGTATCGTGTGAGCAGCAGACGCACGCCAAAACACATATATAGATATACATATGTATATATATATATATATATATATATATATATATATATATATGAGATACTATCGAGATAAAAGAAAGATAGGGCGACAAGTATATGTATAAGCGGTAAAACGGGCCTCTGGGATATATTGAGTATTGATTTTCTCTCCATGGTTGGC